CATCAGTGTTGACTTTCTGGTATGACACAAAACACTGCCAAATATATCGCTGATGAATGCCAACATTCCCTCAATTTCCACATCCTGACGTTTGTCAGGCTTATTATTGACAGCATAAGAGAGCCGCTCTACCACTTATAATTTCCAAATATTGTTTTAATCTTTAAGACCTCGATCCAGTAACTGTTTAGTGCAGGCATTCTCAATGGGAGCGATATATTACTGTCATAAAGAAATGTATTTTTCTTAAACAAATCTTTCAATAAATATTGTTAGCAAATTAAAATATACACATTTGCATTTTAACCCATATACCTGGATCATTCCTGGAGAGGATTCTGGGACTCTACTCCCCGAGCCCCTCAGGCCAGGCTCGACTTGTGATAACTTGGTCCAACAGGCTGTTGCTTGGAGCGACCCACAGGTCCACATATCCACTACAGTCCTGCTGGTCCGGCACTTCTTGCAAGAACGTATCTAAGTGTCTCTTGAATACGTCTACCTTCGTTCCAGCAATATTTCTAATGCTTACTGGGAGAGTGTTGAACAGCTGTGGACCCCTGATGTTCAGTGTTCTCTGATTGTGCCTATGACACCTCATATATGACCAAGTTTACCATTCGGCAATCAAAGAATCAAATGTCTTTACTAATTCTGTAATGTCAATACGGTATCCAAATTGGAATCTTTTAAAAATTAGACTTAGACGCACCCTGAGTAAAAGGCTGGATCATGATTGAGTGTATGTTTAAGCTGTAATGTTTTGGCTGGTCACAGCTGGTAGCGTGACGGTGAATACCTTCCTTGGTTTAGGGAGGGTGGCGGTGCTGTGTGTGTGTGTGTGTGGTGGTGGTGGTGGTGCTGGGGGCGGCGGCCTTCAGCCAACACTTGCTCTATGCTGAGCTTCATCACTCGCTGGCCTTACCTTGACCTCACAAGCCATCACTCGCTTGTAACTTTAGGTGCCCAGTAGTTGACTCTAAAACAACTCTTCTTCTTCGTCGCTGATATTTGCAGTCAGATTGTGGTGTTGGCTTGCACCTAGTTCGCCAGGGCTGGTCACTTGGAGTTCACCGTCTGGTGCTCTTATTGGTCCACAGTTTGACATTATTGTCTTGGCTTGAGATATTACCATTACTTCATATGGTGCAGAACACGACCTACAGTTGAGGTGGCCCGAGCGAGCCACAGTGTTGTCACACGCTTGTGTTGTCTCAACTTGTGAAGTCACTGTCACCTGCAACCAAGTGTAAACATTATCCCACACTGGTTATCTTCACACTCACTTTGTGTCACTACTTCCCCCTCTGCTCAAGAACAGCTTCCCCCACCTCATGGGCCCGGCTCACCCCCCTTGACACAACTAGTCTTAACATCATCATAAGATCATCTTTGTCATGTGACTCCTGAAATCCTAATTTGTGTCACACACCTGGCTGCCTCACCATACCCCTGACATGTCCACACCTGGCTGCCTTCCTTGTGTCAGTTAAGGAGAGTGGAGTGGAGTGGCTCTGCCTTACTCAGCCGTGTGGCTGCCACAGGTGTCAACAAACCACCATCTTGTCAACATGCCAGCACTGTTCGGCATCACCTGCTCCCAATAATTGTTTAACTTCCTACAAACTACTCAACTGTTGGGTATAATCGGTCCCTCTAATTACCTTTCGTCTAAAACTTCCTAGCATTACCTAAGTAATGAAGAACTATGATGTATTTACTCGCTATAATGTCGGTGCTGAATGTAGAATGTTAAAAATTACTAATTTTATAACTAAATTAGAGGAAACAAAGTGGCAGGGCCACGGGAAGTCCCTGGTCCAAGCGACGATGTAGTGGCTTTGGGTAATTAATTACGTGGTCCCAATTTCGTTATAAATTATTATTTCAAAGTAAAAGTATGATTTTTCATACTTTTTTCTGGCACTGTGATTAACTATGGTTATTGCAGGCGATGAGTCACAATAACGTGGCTGAAGACATGTTGACCAAATTACACGCTAGAAGGTGACGAGCCGACGACGTTCGGTCCGTCCTGATCCATTATCACAGTCGACTTGATAATAGTCCACGACGAACCCAAACGTCGTCGACTCTTTTATTTATTTTATTTATTTATTTATTTATTTTTTATTTATTAATATACAAGAAGATACATTGAGATTGTGAGAATACATAGCACAGTAATTACATTCTTGTAAAGCCACTCTTCGTCTTCTAGTGTGTGGTTTAGTCATCAACTGTGGTTGTTTGTCACCGTCTTGGCCATCTTGATCACTCTCACACTTGGAGAACTGTCTTGTGTACCCGGGGCAGGTGGGGGGGGGGGGGGAGACGAAGTCCTCCACGAAACGGACTGAGTAAGGTTTAGGAGTTGACATCACACCGAACCTGTTCCCTGAAGCCCACATCAGAACAATATCGTCAGCAGCGTTTGCAAGGCTGCCTAATTTCAGAGCAGCCTTTAGAAATTTGTGTAAGGAATCATTTTGAGCCTTGTATACCACACATGTCGGACCAGTCCTGAGGTATGTGGCTCCATGCATGGAGTCCATACCATGTCAAGCATTAGACAAAGTTGGAGAAAGTTCAGAGGTATGTCACTAGATTAGTTTCAGAACTAAGAGGCATGAGCTACGATGAAAGACTGCGTGAATTGCACCGCACGTCGCTGTAAGACAGAAGAGTTCAGAGAGACATGATTACCACATGCAAAATTCTCGGAATTAACAGGGGTAGACAAAGATAGATTAATTAACACAGGTGGTATACGCACAAGGAGACACAGGTGGAAGCTGACGGTCCAAATGAATTACAGAAACATTAGAATGAACTTTTTCAGTGTTAGAGTAGTAAATAAATGGAATGCATTAGGCAGTGATGTAGTGGAGGCAGACTCCATATACACAGTTTCAGATGTAGATATGATAGAGCCCAATAGGCTCAGGAATCTGTACACCAGTTGATTGACGGTTGAGACGCTGGACCAAAGAGCAGAACAGATGATGTATCACGCTATTGTGATTTGTGTGTATGCAAAGAGCAGAATCTCAACCTGAGTAGGTGGGTACACACACACGTGTCGTTCACAAAGCCTCCTACATTTGAGTAATAACAAATTGTTCAGGTTTATATCCAAATTGTACGCTGCAAATTTTTCTGTAAATTAACGAATTTGACTGCGATGAATTGATTTTTGTCTCATTGTTATTGGCGCGTGCGTGCGTGGGTGCGTGCTCGGTTTGTGATAGCGTGCAGCTTGTGAAGAAAAAAACGCATTGCGGTAGTATCCTGCAACACTGCCTAGCGGGGCCTTGGTGTGTGTGTGTAATTACCTAAGTGTAGTTACACGATGACAGCTACGCTCCGGGTGTGAGTATTCACCTAGTTGTGCTTGCGGAGGTTGAGTTCTGGCGCTTTCCGCCCGCCTCTAAACTGTTTTTTTTTTCACATGCACACATCCCCAGGAAGCAGCCCGTAACAGCTGTTTAACTCCCAGGTACATAGTTACTGCTAGGCGAACAGGGGAATTAGGGTGAAAGAAACTGCCCATTTGTCTCTGCCATCTCCGGGGATCGATCCCCTGTCCCTAGGATATCGAACCCCAAGCGTTGTCCACTCGGCTATCAGGCCCCCAGTAGGTGCGCGCGTGCATGCGTACATGTGTACTCGCCTAGTTGTGTTTGCAGGGGTTGAGCTTTGGCTCTTTGGTCCCGCCTCTCAACTGTCAATCAACTGGTGATACAGGTTGTGTGTGTGCCGTGTTTGTCCATGCGAAGACAACTTGTAACTGTTGGCCTCCTCCCGCTATGATGCCCAAGTTATCGTATATGTATCTGGTAGGTTTTCAGGCCTTATTTTTGTTAATTATGCCCAGAGGGGCGAGTTTATTGTCCACTTACTCATCCTATGAGTGGACATACCGCCATAGCAGCATGTACAACACTCCAGAATAGGAAGAAAACCCGCTGGGTTGTTCACCGTCACTTGTACCCAGACACAGCTGGGACTTGCTTAACTATCTCAAGTGAACGGCTTATCATACAAGAAGATTAACATCTGTCAGCCCTTAAAATCTTACGTTATCTTGCGGGTGCAAAATGGGGAAAATCTTTTAAGAACAGTATCTATATTTGACAAATAGTATTTTCCTAACTCAAACAATGTGGAGTTTATTATTCTACACATTTCTAATGTCTTGGGTGTTGACAGTCTAGTAGATAATGGTCAAGGCGGTGTCCGTCACTCTCACCACAGATTCTGCGCTGCTCAACTGTTGTTTCCATTCCGAATCTCCATGGATATTTGTATCCAAGACGGATTCTCGCTATTACTGAGTCTGCCGCGGCCACCTTCTCTTCGTCCATAATGATTGGGATTGCCAGCTGCAACCATGTTGTACCTGCGTACAGATTCAGAGTTGTTGTTCTATCCTCCTCTCCTCAGTTGCCTTGTCACGGTGATATTGCCTGATGATATCTCTAATTTGTAGAGGAGTCTTGGGTATGAAGTATGTTGGGAGAAGTTGCTTGCTCACTGTTGCAATAAGGATGTTCTGTTCCCTTGTCGATGTGTTTGAATGTGATGTTCTTACACCTGCGGTCAGAAGAGCTCTGCTTTTATTAAGTGAACTAATGTCCGTTGTATAGTACGGAGTCCAAAACTGACTTGCCAAATCTAAAGGAAACCTATCAAGGGCAAGGTAAAGTTGAAGATTAACATGGGTGTGATTACAGTTCATTATAAATTGTATTTAAAGGTATATATATTTTGTATATAGTCAGTAAGTAGCACTTGTATAGTGAGTAAATTCTTAAAATTTTTAGTGCATCGGTAAACTACCAATTTTTTTATCTTCAAAAGGACAACATTGTCATAGTTCATTGTGTAGTTTATAGGCGTTAGTAATGTTAAGGTTGAAGAGTCAAATGTGTGGCTGGGAGGACAATGGGAGAGCTGGGGCAGTGTTAAGCGTGTTGTAACTTGTGTGTGTGTTACAGGCGTACGTGCGGCGCTTCCCCAAGTGTGACATGATCCCCATCATGGCCGGCACGGACATCATCAGCCAGACCACCTCCAAGGACGGCGCCCTCATCAAAGTCTCCCGCCGCTGTAAGCTGCACGTGGAGGCCCCCTACCTCCTCAAGAAGGTCAGTAGCGCCCCCCTTACTGCCTCCTCCCATCCTCCCAACAACTCCCTCTACTCATTAGTCTTTCATACTCAGTTTTTCCACTCGGGGTACTGCTGCTAAACTCCCCAAGCACCATATTCATGGACACGGGGGTGGGTCAGGGTGGGTGGGTCAGGGTGGGCGGGTCAGGGTGAGAGTGTGAGCGAGGAAAACATTCCTAACTATATGCTAGTGTATTAATTGTAGGTAAAATGTATTTGAGTTTTCAAGTGGTCAATGAATCACATTAGAAATGTCTACTCTATACCTTATTTGGTTGTTTTATTCGGTTCAAATTCATTTCAATATGCAAATTGCTGTGTTTTTCTGTCTACTTTGGCGTTAGCTACAGTTTGTCATTACAAAATTCATTTATATTTGGTCATAAGATGTTGAATCAAGAATACCTGAATGTCTTATAAGAAATAATTTATAATACTTTATTTCCTTTTCATCACGATATATTTCTGAGCTATTATAAAATCAGTACTTCACAATATTATGATTTTTAGGAATATAACAATTCCTCTTATTTCATGTACTGTACTCTTAATAAATGGTGTTGTATAACTTGTCATGATATAATATAGTGGATTTATATCTATGTTGAAGTCAATGGTATACAAAATTGTTGAGGAATAATGAAATATATTATATGTATAATGATTATATAAACGTGCACTATTCAATTGACTTTTCAAGCATCTCTGTACAGAAGTCCTGGCAGATATGTGAAAAATAGCTATCATAGTTCCAATATATACAAAAGTAGCAGCATGGAAGACCCCCGTAGTTACAGACCTGTATCATTGACAAGTGTAGTAGTCAAAATGCTGGAAAAAATAATTAAAACCAAATGGGTAGAACACCTGGAGATAACACAGTATGATATTGAATCTGAAATATTCTGTGTAATGAATTTACTTAGTTTCTATGACCGAGCCACATATTTTACAAGAAAGAGATGGTTGGGTTGACTACATTTATCTGAACCTTAAATAAATGCTTTCGACACAGTCCAGTATGAAAGGTTGTTCTGGAAACTGGAACATATTGGAGGAGTGACAGGGAAATTTCTAACATGGATGAAATATTTTCTGACAGAAAAATGAGGGCAGTAATCAGAGGCAATGTATTGGACTGGAGAAATGTCACAAGTGGAGTACCACAGGGTTTAATTCTTGCACCGATAATGTTCATTGTCTACATTAATGACCTACCAGAAGGAATCGGAATTACATGAACATGTTTGCTGATGATGCCGAGATACCAAGGAAGATCTTGTTTGATTGTCATGCTCTTCAAGAAGACCTGGATAACACAAATGTATGGAACACCACTTGGCAAAAGAATTTTAATGTGAATAAATGCCATGTTATGGAATGTGCAGTGAAAATGACTACACAACTTACAAATTGTGAAAAAGCTTTTAAAAAATACTGATAGAGATATAGGGGTGGTTCTAAATAGAACTGGTGGTTCATTGTCTGAATCGCAGGGGGTCTCTTAGGTCCATGGCTCTTTTAGGCTGGTCGCTTTGAGTGATTCGTCTGTTGGTTTCTCAGGGTTTAGCTCTTCTCGTAGTTCACATCTAGAAGTATCCAATGTTCTGGCAGGTGGCTTGTTGTGGTTCATTCCCCTGTTTACGGAATGGACATTTGACAGTCGAATGGACATATTTATCACCCCAATAAACAGCGTGACAAATAACCATGGCTTCTATTGCGCTAGCTACTTGATATTCCTGACTATTGTTTTACACACTAGTAGATTTTCAATTACAGATAGTACTAAGTTTATAAGCTTTCAGATTTATTAATAGTTTCTTTATTTCCAGATCATGGGTGTGGAGTATATTTATTTTGTGCAGACCAACGTCCTTGACCAAAGAAACCGAACTCTAACAATTGAAGCTTACAATGAGAGCTTTTCTTCACGCGTTGGTATCATTGAGAATTGCCGCTATACGGTAGGTCTCTCTGTTACAGATGGTAAATATTTAGCTATTTGAAAGAGATTGATTGTATCAAATATTTGCAGCGAGATGGCTAGTGTTGAAGTGAAAGCATGTGAGAATGCGTGAAATGTGTACAATATGTCATAGAGAGTATTTGACAAAGTGAACATAGATTCTTGAAAGTAATGACCATGTTTGGAGATGTTAGGTTGTTACAAAGTGTTGAATTGAAGCATGTGCAAGTTTTTTGGTGTAATGTGTTAATAGTTTAATATTAATGGGTTGAGAGACATTCTCATGGCTCAATATATTTATATATTCATAAAGGTCAAGATAAGAATGTAGTACTGAAAAAGGAGTATATGATACAAATTTTGTAGTTTACCAAATACTGTATGATGTATGCAAATGATGCCGTGTGTCTAGGAGAATATTATAGATATGTAGGTTGATTAATCAAAAGCTTGATTGATTTGGAGTTTTGTATGTCTTAAGAAAACCACTTGAAATAAATTTTTAACAAAGGTAATGATGGTAAATAGTGTGGAATGTTGGTAAACAGTTTAAATACCTGGTGTCTATAATTGGCAAAAAATTAAATGGGTTAAATAATAAATTTGGAAACGAAAGGTAAAATTGCAATGAAAATCCTTGTGATGTGGGATAAGGTACATGAGCATGTGATAATGCCGAGTGTTTTGTTGGCCTTATCCTAAGGTATCTGTTGATATTACCACTATCTCGTTACTGTACTATTAGTCTAGTAGTCATTAGTAGATTTTGTTTAGCCTATAGCCTCCTTATATAACATCATGAGCTGTCGTAGAAGACTGGAGCCTCTTGAGATTGCATTTAAAAATATACCTAGAAAAGATCATAAAGGCAAATAGGGGGGACCTTCGATAAGCCGCCGGCTTCCTGTCCTCATCAAAGTCAATAGGGTTAGTGGCCCCTCAGGTAAATCGGGTAAATATGTTCAGGGCTGTATTTCTCTTGATATTGTGTCTTGAAATCAAGGGGAGATTTTCTTGCTTTTTCATTATCAAGGTCCATGAATTTTACCTTTCCTTTCTGTCCAAGAATGAAACATAATTCATTGTGTCTGACAGGCAGCCAGAGTGTATTCATACATGTTAGGCTTATACCAAGGTTCTCCCCCCCCCCCCCAGGACAAATTACTGACCCCACCGAGAATGCAACCTCACATCAAGCTGACCAATTCCTGAGTACCTACTTATTGCTAGGTGAACAGTGGCATTAGGTGAAAGGAAATGTGCCCAATCATTTCTGTCCCTCCTGGTATTCGAACCGGAAATTTTAGATTGTGCGTAGAGAAGGAACCCGACTGTACTACCGGGACCCTAAAGTACCGACTCTACTACCGGGACATATTCATTATGCGCAAACTTGCTCCTGCCTCTACATGACTTGACTGTCTTGCTGGGCACTTGCCAATTATTTTTGGGGGGTTCAGCAGTAGTGCTTTGGTCTTGCCCCTTTACCTAGTTTTTAAGTTGAATTTTATGTATTTAAAAAAAATTTAATTTGCAAGTTCTGGAGTCTCATTAATGGCATCTTTCCATTAATAACTGCAGAACTGTGTGGCTATGCAAAATGGCTGTTTTATTTGTTACTAAGCAGTAATCACTGCTGGGAAATCCACTTAATGTTTTCATTAAGTAGGCTCTGCAGGCTCTAGTAGAATAGGTGTGCTGTGATTCTTATAATTGTCTTAACAATTGTTTTTAAGTGTTAGATTTATTTGGTGTAAAGATGCATTATTTGGTGTGGTTGTGAAATTTTTATTGTACCTACAGAGTATGAACTATATTGTCACTACTTACAGGTTCATCCAGAGAACAGTGACTGGACATGTTTTGAGCAAACAGCTACTTTGGATATAAAGTCATTTTTTGGATTTGAAAGTACTGTGGAGAAGATTGCTATGAAACAGTACTCACAAAACATATCAAAGGTGAGCCTTACCAAATACTGTACTATATATTAACAGCCTAGTTTTAAATTACTACTGTAGTATTTAGAAAATCCCTTGACAGAATACTTTATTGAATCTAGAAACACACTGCACCTTCGATATTCTGATGTTTTATATTCCTTAAATAGTAAATTAAATGTGATCACTGGGTTTCCTCTCTGAATTATTAAAAGATCTGAATTTCAGGTTTGAGAGATGGTTTATTCGGTGAAGGCTAAATTGTTGATTAATCCAAATTGTTTATTATAATAATAATAATAATAATAATAATAATTTTTATTTAGGTAAAGGTACATACATAACGAGATTTTACAAAGTTTGTTGGCTTTATAGATAGAGCTAGTACATACAATGCCTAAAGCCACTATTACGCAAAGCGTTTCGGGCGTTTTATTTTTATCTAATCTTATTTTTATTTATAAATGTAATTGGAAATACAGTAGTGTATTTATATTAGAAATGTATGACGTGATATGGTACTGTGGCTGTACCGGGTAGATGGAATGTGGCGCATACTTCTCATTAATAAAAAAAACACATTGGCCTTTGGAGTGTGAAAATTGCACAGGAGTGACGGAATACTTGGGCTAAAATTTGTGACAATTTACTCTCGTATATAAATATAAACAAATAACATTATGATTAAAGTAAAATAACACAAAGTAATTTTTATTCCTTTCGCTTTCTTATATTAGTGATTAAGTTCTTGAATAGACTTAAGCAATGATCATGAATTCTATTTATCACTTGTTATATAATGAAACATAGCAGGAAGAAAAACAATGACACAGTGGCTATAGCCAATTAGTGACAGGGACCCCTGTCACAGACACATAATATGCTGAAGATGTCTAGTTGCCTAGGCAAAGTTCTTGTCTCACCCAAAGCTTACCCCAAGACAGGGACAGGTGAGAAAAGGCTGTAGCCGAAACAAAAAAGCAGTAACTAATGCAGTCGTGGAAATTTGCCAAGGCTTACCACCTGTTGGTTACTTGGTAGTCTCTTTGCACTGAAGTAACACATGGAAAGGCTGGAGTGAATATGAATGAATTAATGCCTGGGGTTACACAAGACATTAGCTTTGTACACATGAAATTAACAAATTCAAATTATTTTATTCCTATATTGTTAATGTCTGTCCTGATCATTGGAAAATTACTTAAAAAATCAAAAGCCAATTACTTTGGGTGTAGTGAAATGATGAAATGTCAATGACGTCATCAAATATTGTTCACTGACAAAACAGGCTCCCAACCTGATTGCATTTGTTTCATTTTTCCGGTGCAATGATGGTTTGGGCTGTTATTACAGTACTGGTATTCATATCACAGAATGTGTGGAATATCAGTCTGCACAAATATACACATCCCTAATGGAATGAAGGGTTGTTTCAAATCTGACGAGGTGAGAATGGGATTAGTATGCAGCAATGTTTTTAAATGATTGAAAACAATGGATTGGGAGGTGTTCCAAATGAATTTCCTTCTTGTGCTGGTGAGGTTCATTAAAGGGGTAGCAACGGTGTGAAAGTTCTTGCAAAATCTTCGCTAGTAGGATGTTTATCCTAAAAATTTTATCCATTGAGGATGGTTGTAGATACTGCTGAATAGCTTAAAGATGGATGATCAATGGTGTTTTACTGCCTATGACATGACCAAGGTAACGTACTTTACCCTTAGCAAAGGTGAAGTTCCCCAAATTAATTGGGATACTAGCTTGGAGTAGCTTGGCGAAGTTGTTGCAACTGGTGTAGATGTTCTTCCCAGTTGGTTACTATAGCTACAAGCTAAAACCACATCAACAAAACTACAGCACCATAGCTAAACTGAATAATAATTTAGAATACAGTAATTACATACTGTGTAAGGTTTGTTGTAGGTAATTCAACACACATTTTACCTGTACAGTATTTTCAAAGTGTAATGGATAGATGATTTATTTTAAATTTGTATATTTAACAGGGAAAAGAAATTATTGAATATTTCATCGAGGAACTTCGTAAAGATGGTATCACACATTTGCCACGATGGGAGGAGCCATCTCAAAAGACAGTACCAGAAATTTGCATCACTAAAGACAGCAAGAAACTAGAGAACGAGTCGGATAGCAGTTCGGAGGAAATGGAAGGACGTGACCGCACCAGCAGCACACCGTCCACTGGCTCCAGGGAGCTTCAACTGGGAGCGTCTGCCACAAATCTACCAATCATTGACAAGATCAATCTTCATGAAGGTAAAATCATTATTTTAGAACCAATTTTGAGTGGCAATGAATACATTTCCATGTTTACATTTTTAAAGAAAAAGATAAATTGAAAAAGAGTGGGTGTGAAAACTAAGGTTTGCTACTACAGTATGTATGTATGTATGTGAATATTGTGTAAATATAATGGCATAGAGGTAGCAATAAAAGACATACAGTACTGTGGAAAATTTTTGTTTTTATATTGTATTATTTAAAATATTGAATAAAATGTACTGGAAAAAAATTAATGCCAATGTATTTTAATGTATATCAGAAGACTACCTCCTCCTCCTTAACTATGGGAAACATACACTTAAGTCTGATCATAAAACTGAGCTTACTTAGGTTATTAGAGAGTGTAGCACATTGTCAACTATTTGCTTTTTGTATTAAGACGAGTGTAAACTTGGAATGAGTCTTGGGAAAGCTTAGTTTTATCACCAGACAGGATACCAAAAAAAAAACAAATCTGTTGAATAAAAGTAGAATGAGAAGAAATACATCCCCTATGTTATCCTTAAGATAATACAGCTTGGAATGGTGAAATGAAACATTAAAATCAATAATATAAATCAATTGAGAGGAAAGGAGAGAGCCCAACTTTTCCAATGGGGAAAGAAGTTCAAATAAATCCTTGGAATTGCCTACTTGCTGAAGCTGTAAAGGCCAAGATAATACTTCAGTTTAAAATTTAGTAATATGATGACACTATTCCCACTAAATTATAGGTCACTATCATTGATGGGCAGATCACTGGAAAAAATATTTTAATTAAATGGGTGAAATATCTTAAAGGAAATTATATAATAACAAACAAGCAGTTTGGTTTTGGAGTTGGAAGTTCATATATAACTAAGTTATCAGTTTTTGATAAAACTTCGTACAAGAGATCTTACGAGAAAGATATGGATGGGCAAACTGCATCTTTTTATATCTGAAAATGACATTCAATGAAGTCCCACACAAGAGTGTTCTGAAAGTTGGAACACGGTTAAGGAGTGAGTAGCACACTATTAACGTAGATGAGAACAGTGATCAAAGGCAATAAATTAGACTGGAGGAGTATCAGTATTGGAGTTTTATAAGGCTCAGTACCAGTGCCACAAATAATCTTTATATATATGATTTACTCACTTTATCTACTGGATCTAAATTACCGTCATGCCATTCAAAATCGCCTTAATAAAATAAGTGCATGAAGCATCACATGGCAAATGAAATTCAGTGTGAATAAATGTGATGTAATGGAGATAAGAATATGTAAAATGGTCACATGCAACCTACAAAATGTGAAGAAGAAAGTGACTGGGAAAAAGATTGTGTTTAACACTTTCCGGCTCTTGGCGAATGTAAAAAAAACAACCGTAAGTGCTCCCAGCGTTTTGCCGCGTAAGCGTAAAAACAAAAATGTGTATACTCTTTTTACTCTCATGACCTTAGTTCTTGAGCTACGTATTTTATTTTGGTACCAACGTGTTTGCAATAAAATTCTCTAGAAGAACATCGGTAAAAAAAGTCACGAAACGTATAGGGATACCAGAACCAAATAAATAACTATGAAGATGACTCGCCGTGAGCGCCCAACAGCAACAAAATGTTTTTACTCTTGGGATTGTTATCACCTCCACACTTGTCCTACAGCGTTAATTTTGGTATCAATGGACTCGCAATGAAATTCCCAACACGGTGATATGAATATAAGCGTAGAATAATGATTGCAGCCCGCCCGCAAGAGTGTGGGAAGTGGTGAAATTGTTACCCGGTGTCGGTGACGGGACGACGCACGGCGCTTTGAAAGTTTATACTTATTTCATTCTCATGACATTATTATTCTATGTACGTCATTCATTTTTGTGTCAATGTGTTCGCAATAGAATGTTCTATGAGCCCGTAGGTAAAAAAGATCAACAAAGCGTAAGATAGAATAGCGCCAAATATAAAACAACGCTGGAACATATCAGTGAGAGTCAAACACACACGAAATGTTTTTACTTTTGTTATGTTTGTGAACCTTTCATGAACTTCTTGTACCATGCAGCCTATTGGTGAGAAAGAGAGCCTCATGGCGCGCAGTTTGAAACAAACCCAAAGTAAATCGAATAAAAATTGAATTTTATACAAATATTTTAAAAGAGGACATAAGTTTATGTCCACTATGCGGGAGCGGGTAGGCGAAACAGGACGCAGGGAGGAGTCCTCATAGCCGGAAAGTGTTAATTATCGCAAATCCACAAAAGGACATTTTGAGAAGACTTCTACTGTGGTCAATTTCAGAATTGGCTTTAAATACTGTACATTGATGGAGAAATTCTTAAAAAAAAATTATAATACACATATGAAATCAAAATTAGAATACAGTATCCAGCTGTTGTAAGATGCCTATATGCCAAAAATCTAAATAAAATAGAAAAGGTGCAAAGGCATGCTACTAAATGGCTCTCAGACCTGTAACACAAGAGCTGTGAGGAGGCATTAATTATGAAGAAACTACCAGAAGAGATGATATAACAAGATGATTCCATATTTACAGGAATCATAAAATTTATAAAGTGGAAATAACTTGCGTAACTTCTCTCTTGCAAAGCGAGTAGTATAGATGAGTGGAATAAATTAAATGAGAGAGTATGTCCAGACCAAGAGGAGCATCAAAACTTCCTGTAACAGTAATATAATGAATAATTACCACTAGCATAGTTCTCCTTTAAGTACGTAATTACACTCTGGTAATTACACTTTCATATATATTATTCTTGAGAATGATCATATTACTGCTTGTATTGATATATGCCTGGCTTTGTGTCTGGGAATACTTTCCATGATTGGCTGTGATGGGAAATGTGTCTACTTCTTTCATGGTTTTAATTACAGTACTGTATATACTTTTTAATGCTTCAGCACTTAGCCAATTTTTTCTACAAGTTTATTGTACTTTTTCTTCATTGATAGCATGTGATGTTAATATTCCTAGTGTGATGTTGAATGTTGCTAAACGCTAAAGACTTGTCACTGTACTGCCACCTAACTTTCTCAGAGATCACTTCTTTAAGTCAGCATAGTTAGCAAGGAGTGAAGTACTTTTATGTTAAGATGACTTTGGAGGAAATTTGTATTGAGGACAAAATAATGTCAAGGCAGGTGTTGGACAATAAAAGCTTGATTATGATACCATAGGGCAAAGAGGAAACTTGGGTAAACACATGAAGGTTGCTATAAAACATATAATGTAAATTCAAAATACAAAAAATGTTTTGTTGAAAATGCTGAACTGAATAATAAAATTTAGACCTATAGCTGATATGTCACTACAGTATACAAAGTATGTAACTTGAGGTAAAAAAGTATACAACAAGCAATCCCAATGGAGAGACCTAAAATTTAGATTGACGGTACAGTACCCAGGAGGACGATGACATGAAATTGTCCGAGAGAGAACAGAATATTCTTGCAGAGATCACAAATGGCAATAACCATTGCACTGTGCAAGGGTAACATTAAGCATTATCTGTATGTGCAAGGAAAATTTATATTCAAAACAATGTTCGTGTCTTTGTATATTGCTGAAAACCATGCCCTGCGCATTGAAAATATATCTACAAAATCATGTCACTAGGCATATGCACTAGGCATATGCTTACTGGATGCCAGGTGGCATTACTGGGTGTTCACTTAGTGTCCCGGCAGTGGATATTATCTTCTTGTGAGTTTTCCACAAATCTGGCATAAGACTGACAAAAATCAAAGCTGAAAGTGAAACAGGACAGGAAGACAAAGGATAACCAGGAGCAAACCCTAAATCTGACTTCCATAGTTGCAGTCTAGGACAAAAATAAGCAAGGTGACAGAGCAAAAGCCCGTCTTACCTCAACCCAATGCTTGGCAGTAGAAAGATAGAAGAATGGAAGTTGAATAAAAAGTTTGAAACACCCTAGGACACTGTATGCTTGGCCATACGCAGGCAGCGGGCTGCTGTGTACCCAGCCATTCTGCAGCATGGATTGTTTGTCTTTCTAAGAGTATCAAGTTTTCTTCAAACACTTGTGTGTTTTGTTGCATTTATGCTTTCTGGTGGGGTTTTCTTATTTTTAAGTGTGTAATCTCCACGGCCCCATGTCACCTCTTACCGAGCCAGATGCATCTGCCTAAGGCTTTGCTGGACTAACACTTAACTTGTGCAGCTGCCGATGGTCCCCACCTGGAAAGGGTGATAATTACTTTCAACACTGTTAGATGATGATGTACACTATTACACCTTTTATCTGTTTGAGTGAATAAAGGGACGATGAGTATGAACCATAGGCTCAATTATGGTGGCAGTGACAAGCCTTGTACATAAGCAAAATTGCTTCTAATGCTTAAGATTAGATCTTTGTTCACAATGTTACTATAGTAGTATAGAGTATGATTGATTTTCTAAATTTCCTTTGGCTGAATTCCAGGTGATGCTTTCATGACAGATAGAACATACATTAAATGGTGCCTTGGTAACCTAGTTCCAGAAGAAGTGGATAATAGCAGAACAGATCGGGGTATTAAAAGACAAATTTTTGGCATCGAAGTTATTGCTTTTACTGTAGTGTGATATGATAAAACTGTAATTCTAAAGTCTATACAGTAATAGGTTTGCATTGGATCTGGAAGTACCTTAAAATTAGCATGATCATAGAACCATTTTGTTTTATATACTCTTCCCCAAACCTGCACTATGTTGACCAGACTGCAGTTTGTTGAGCAGGTACCGACCCATCATCGAACTGCCTTCAGCCTTACTGCAGCCAAGGGGGCATCAAGTTCAGATCACGAGTTGATCACTCTTGCCTTTGCACAATGTTAGTTATGGCTGAAAATGTAAACATTGTTGAGTGGGATAATTGGCGGATGTGGTGTACTTTAGTGACTTTAAGGCTTTTGCAGAGATTATGCTAATGAAGATGTTCCATCAACCAATTTCCTCTCCCTGTAAACTTTGAAATGGTTTAATATCATGATTATTCTTAGTGCTCCTGCTACTCCTATACAAACACTGCTCAGTAGTATTTTTCATGTGGAAATAATTTGCCTACTGTGAGCAGCCATCTTGATATGGAGTATTTAATCCCATCTCTACTTATGCCACATCCAAAAAGCATCAACAGTCTTTACATTAGCTTGACTGGCTACTTTTCTCTGCTGCATTGCTTTCATTTTTCACTTTGAGCACAAAGATCTTATGCTGGGCCTTGAAAAAAACAAAGACTGCTCTTCTTGCTTTGTATTCAGTTCACGAAAGACTTTTTTTTTGGGGGGGGGGGGTCATCATTCTTTACAAGAAATGTACTGTACCTCCCTCTAATTTCTACACAAGTCATCACTCTTATGTTTGCTGCTGCTGTAGTAGAGTCCATCAGTGACACATTATTACCTGTATTTTGAGCTGACATTTAGCTCAAAAAAAGGTAGGTCATTTAGTATTTATGAAATATTAAGGGATTCATGTGAAATAGTTTCTTTGCCGGAGATGTAAACAAAGGTGGGTTGATGTCACCTCGGGTAGCAAGCCATAGGCTGTTGTCGCCGAGAAGAACGGTGATGTGTCGGTCAAAGTGAGTAATCAGTGTAGCCGAATAAAAAGTAATGGCATGGTGGGTCGGTCCCTGCTATGAAACCAGTAGTTATAAAGTTTTGAATATATTTTGTAATATACTTGGCTTCATTGCCTGAATCTTCTAATTACCTGCCACTTGCTTGTCGAGTACTGGATTAAAAACTTAGCTTAGCACTACTATTGACATGTGGTTCCTGTGACCCTCTGGTATTTTTGTCTTGATTAAAACTACAGTATATTAATTTGCCCTTTTATTTTCTTTACATAGCAGGCATATTTGGTAATTCGTAGAGCTCTGGTAATATTTAACTTTGTTTATTGTATAAAGGTTAATGATTAATTGCAGGAACAAGTCATAATTGAAACTATTTCTTTGCATAATATAAAATATAATTAATAATATACAGTAATATAATAGAACTCTTCACTGAAAGTTGTTTATTGTAAATTGTCATTATAATGCTGTTATTTAAATTAGTAATTCCTATCAAAGTGTATTGAGGAAGGGAATCATAGTATAGTAGACCTAGCTGGCTGGTTGCTGTGTGTCGCACAGCTGGCTGGTTGCCGTGTGTCGCACAGCTGGCTGGGTTGGCCGTGTGGTGCACAGCTGGCTGGGTTGGCCCTGTGTCGCACAGCTGGCTGGTTATTCTGTGTGCATGGCATTAATCATATGTTAGGGTCAGAAATAATTATTTGTATATGGGCATAGTGCTTCTCTATTGATGACAATACTAGGTGACTTCTCTATATACCAAGCCAAGAGTGAGGCTGTGTCCATGAGATCATTCATACAGTAACTACCCTGATTCACTGATGCTTAACATGACCAGTTCTATCTGGTATGTAGTAGAAAGTGATGGTCACAATTCTCCTCATTCAACTACACACTGATCATTTTCCAGCTGTGTTGTGACCAAGCTCAACACATCTAAAGAATTAAAAAATTTTAATTAAAATTAAATTTAAAATCTGATTTTTTCTAACTAGGCCATGCTTTCTTGTTCGTCCTGCTCATTCACTTTCGGGGCTCTTCTGATCCTTGGTTGTTTTGTCTAATTTTTATTTGGGCCCCTTTCTGGTGGAGACATGGTTTGTTTGGTTATCTGTCCATTATCTTTTGTGTCCTGTGGTTGATTCTTAAGAGGTACCTTTATGCTACCAGCGTGTTACTCCTCCTCTTCTTATTGGCCTCGAGCTTTGCTCGGCTTGCCTGTTTCAGCTCGTTTCCCGATTAGTTAGGCCTTTTCAACTGCAGGCTTTTGCTGTACTCTTGTCATACCTCATGCTTTTGTGGCTCTGCCCCCGGCTGACCTTTGGACTTGGTGATCTTGTGATCTCTTCAATATGTGGCTGTCAGGTACATCCCTGACTTCACCTTTGGGTATCTGTTCCCGGCCAGAAGACTTGAACAGGATTCGTCCTGGACCCATCATTCTGCATTCCACAACTTTCTTGGAAAAGTCCCCTGTGTGTGTTGTTACACATCATAACTTGTTGGTGGGGGGGGGGGCATTGTTGAAAGGCCTCCCCCCCATTTGCCTTGATAATCTTTTCCAGTTTGATTTTGAAATTAAAGAGTCTTGGCATTTACGGTTTCATCGGGTAGGCGGTTCCATGGGTTAATAACCCTGTGGGGTAAAAAAGCACCTTCTGTTCAGAGTCCTGCATTGTGGCTTGTCTAGCTTGAAGTCGTTGTTCCTTATTTGTCACATTAGACCTTTTGAAGAAATTTTCCGGGTCAACATCCACCAGATTGTTCAGTATTTTAAGTTTCAATGAGATCTGTCCTGGCGTCCCTTGGTTTGCAGTTTGCAGCCCTGTGGTCCTCAACCGTTCCTGATAGGAGGGCTGACTTAGTTCTGGAATGATTTTTGTTGCCCAGTGTTGCACTTTCTCCAGAGCAGCTGTCCTCCTGAAGATGGGGTCTCCATGCTTGGATACAGTAATCCAAATGAGGCTGCACCAGAAATTTATACAGTTGACTTACCACCTTCCTTTCCTTAATGTCAAAGGTATGCTTGATTATTCCGAGGGTTTGGTTAGCTTTTTTAACTGCTGCTGCTACCTGTTGTGCAACTTTTAGTGAGTGGTGGATTTTGACTCCCAAGGTCCTTTTCTCATCAATCTGCTGTAATGTAATGCTAGTATTATTAATTAGGTAGATGTGGTGTGGGTTGTTATGCCCCACATGCAGGGTCTTACATTTATCAATATTAAAAACCATTTGCCAATCATCTGACCATTTGTGGAGTTCACGTAGATTTCTTTGTAGGCTCTTTGTATCTCGTTTTAATGGCAAAGTTCTCCCAGTGATGGACACAAGACAATATGCAAGGTTACTTGTCCTTGTGAGACTGTCATACGTGGCCCTAATGGGTCAAGTGCTAAGGCTCAGGAAAGCTCTTGAGGGACAGTTCACAAAGTGGCAATTTATTTCAGAAGACACTAGTTTAAATTTTTATTTCGGCTAAATTTGGCAAGTGTACAGTGCTTGTGTATTTTATAGCTTACTTAAGCGTATGCTGTTAACTTGAATATGATTAGCTGCTAAAGGCAGTACCTTATTTGTAGTAGTAATACTTGTACTCATACTTGTTCTCATTCTGTTATGGAAATTAAGGAAATGTAAAATCCATTACATTTATGGTAATGGATAATAAATATTTGCTTTAAAATTAATTCATATTAACAGATAATAACAAGCTGGATGCAGATTACATTAAGAGATGTCTAGGAGACTTGACCCCCTTGCAAGAGTCTCGGTTAATACAGCTCAAGAAGTGGGTCGCTGAACTACAGAAAGGAAAGGTAAGATGGATACATGTAGGTACAGTGACATCTCCAAAATCCAGACTATACTATTTTTGACATAATTTGAGCTTCAAGTATTTTGATTTTATGCTATATATCATAAAATATATTGGAATTGTCTTAAAGCAAATGATAGAAAACATCTTTGTGCATATTTAAACACAGATACACTATATAAACAACAAATGATTTATATCATAACAATAAATATGATTATGTATTTAACTTAATGAGTCATTAATCTTCTAACAACAATGTAGTAATGTACTTGTCAACTCCTGGATCAAACTCCTTAATATGAGCTCTTGAATTTTTCTCTAGTGCTTTGCCACCAGAATAGTCGTATATTTCACACGTCTTCACTAGTGTAAGGGAAAGTGTCAGTAGCACCTACCTCCTTACAAATCTACGTTAGCTCTGAAATGAAGCTCTTCTAATCCAGACAGGGAATGACACGTACAGTTTAAGTAGAGGCCAGTCTTCCCTCATTTTCTCAAGGCGTCATTTGGTAGGGTGTTGGGGTCTGCTTTGTTTTGCTGACTTCCTGGTTGCCTTCCCCAGTGAGGTGGAAAAATGTCACTGTTCCTGGCACCTCTGAGGGAGGGGGGGGTCAAGGTTCTTGTGCTGGCCACATACTCGTGGATCTGCTCAAAGGCCTTTCTACGAGGACCTGAACCAACAAGACTACTGCTAATTGCAAATGCATCTTGTAGTCATTCACAGAGCCCTTGACAACACAGGCAGTTGCACATGAAGCTGCCACTTGCCCACATCCCTAGGAAGTGCTGCATCTAAGAAGGTTGCTAGCCAGCCAAGATGAATCTGGAACCTCACATTGCAGCCAAGATAGACCCAAACTCCAGAGAGGCTTGCTCGGTGTTCAGACATTATGATGGTCTACGTTGGCATCATACAGCATATTAGTATTTTACTGTCAAATAGGCATATTTATATAGTATCGCCTGCCCATCACTATTTGAAATAGAATCAAACTACTGTATTGGCTGCTTAAAAAAGCTGTTCATATAATTGATCTTGGAATGGATTTTAAAAGCTTACTTTTCTCTTACAAATATAATTAACCAACACAAAAATATTATGAAATTTCAACCAAGATTTGTCATTTAAAAATGTAATTATTATTGCAGGTTCCAAGTGATAGTTGCTTGTTGAGATTCTTACGAGCAAGAGACTTCAACATTGAGAAAGCACGAGAGATGCTGAGTCATTCACTCATATGGAGAAAAAGGAACCAGATTGATAAGATGATGAGCGAGTACCAGGCACCCCAAGTGGTGAAGGACTACTTCCCCGGAGGCTGGCACCATCAAGACAAGGGTAAACATTATAAAACTCTTTCACTATAATTTACTCTTAATTTATCTTTTAAATATACAGCAATAAAATTTGTAACAATGTGTAACTACTGTATTTAAGTAGACTATTTCATGCTTGGATTATATTTACTGGTTCATGTTTATTCTTTCAAATGTATAGATATAAATAACGATGCATGTGTCGTACAGTGCAGTTCACCTTCACTTGATACATTCCTCTTCATCAAATATTTGATTAAGTAAATACAGGTGTTTGTTGTCTTCCCTAGGTCATTGTACCTCTAATGCAAGTAATCTTTTTGTCTTTCACTTGGTTTGATGATATTAGCCTTCTTTCACTTTGTGCCATCCTCATTACTTTTCATTCATTATGATCACACTCCAGTATTATAGTCTCATATCTGATAATTTAATTTGTCTATCCTGGATTCTTTTTGTCTGCGTGCACTTTTCTTGCTATGTTTACCTAACGGTGGCAATGGGAAGCAGGATCTAGCTCTTGGGACCCACCACCCAAATATTGTAGCTCATACATTTATACATCCAGATACTGTAATGCTCTGTTGTACATGATTTCAAGGGTAGAATGAAAGGGGTTTCTCTAACACCTGATCCCAGCTCATTCCCCATGTTTGCCATCTGTGGGTATTTTTGTTTAACTTCTGACACCCTAAAATAAGAAACTAGTCACTGGGAAACTTGTTTTCTTCTTGGGTTAATGGACTGTATCTATTTTGTGTTCCCGAATTGGCTTTAAAGTGACCCAACAGAAATGGGGCCGTTTTCATTAACCTGTTGAATGGAAAAAACCTCCACCTACTAGCCGCGTGTGTGTGTGTGACTAGCTGTGTGTGATTCCTTCTTGAGTTTCGGACAAGGAACTCGGCAGTCATACTATAGAATTGATCCTATGAAGTATGATCATAAGCCGCGTAGCCCAGCTTATAATTAGGTCTGGCATAGCCTTCCCAGTTGCTGGGTATCATGCTTGGTTTATCCTTTAGGCACTGGAAATCCTCCTATGGGTTTGGTGTAGCCAATGGATATTCCCTCTGTACCCATTTCCACTTTGAGAGTTTAAAGGTGGCTTGTTGTTCGTGCCATGGGGTGATGATTACTCGTTCTGCATCTGCCATTCCTCCTGTTGATCGAAGACACCTGTGACCCAGAGTCCTGTGGGGTATGCGCTCCCCATGTGGCTCTTATCTGACCCGACTAATGACGTTCATGCATATTAGTTGGCTACCGCTTTACGGGATTGATTTCCCCATTTGCAGCAGACTAGGTTGTGTGCCTGGTTGGATGTCTCCCATCTTCCCTCACACTTCCAGCCCCAAAATGTCCAAGAGTTTCCGGTTTGGGGCAGGGTTTAACTCGGGATGTGGCTCGGCCGTCTCCAGTTGTGGTTCATTTCAATTAGGGCACCGAGGCAGTTGGTCCCACCCAGGTTTGTGTTTTCCTTCCAGCTAGCCCCTTCTGAAACCACTCCTTTAGGGCATGTTGAGCAAGAGGGAGAGGGAGGCAAGGCATGTTGAGCAGGAGGGAGGCAGAGCATGCTGAGCAGCAGGTGGGAGTGAGGTAGGGCATGTTGAGCAGGAGGGAGGTAGGGCATGTTGAGCAGGAGGGAGGTAGGGCATGTTGAGCAGGAGGGAGGTAGGGCATGTTGAGCAGGAGGGAGGTAGGGCATGTTGAGCAGGAGGGAGGTAGGGCATGTTGAGCAGGAGGGAGGTAGGGCATGTTGAGCAGGAGGGAGGTAGGGCATGTTGAGCAGGAGGGAGGTAGGGCATGTTGAGCAGGAGGGAGGTAGGGCATGTTGAGCAGGAGGGAGGTAGGGCATGTTGAGCAGGAGGGAGGTAGGGCATGTTGAGCAGGAGGGAGGTAGGGCATGTTGAGCAGGAGGGAGGTAGGGCATGTTGAGCAGGAGGGAGGTAGGGCATGTTGAGCAGGAGGGAGGTAGGGCATGTTGAGCAGGAGGGAGGTAGGGCATGTTGAGCAGGAGGGAGGTAGGGCATGTTGAGCAGGAGGGAGGTAGGGCATGTTGAGCAGGAGGGAGGTAGGGCATGTTGGGCAGGTGGGTGGGAGGGAGGGCATGTTGGGCAGGTGGGTGGGAGGGAGGGCATGTTGGGCAGGTGGGTGGGAGGGAGGGCATGTTGAGCAGCAGGTGGGAGGGAGGGAGGGAGCGAGCGAGGGAATGTTGAGTAGGAGGGGGAGAGGTAAATTTTTTGGATTGTTGGGATCCATTATTAAATTGTCAAGAGAGAGAGAGAGAGAGAGAGCATGTTGAAGGTGGCTTTTGGAGTGTGACTAGTGATGAGTCTCGGTGACTAATTACTAAAGTGGACACACACATTAGTAATTGCAATTACTCAAGGAATATGGATGTTTTAAAATTTATTTCATTCGGTATTGATTAAATTAAAATTGTCCAAGTTCTGTAATACAATTTTGTTAATATTTCTAGGTGAATTGGCTCAATAACCATCTAAATGGAAGCAGAGAGCAGGTAACAGATGGGTAGATATGTAAATACATATAATTGTTTTTTTTTTATAAATTATTTTGACTAGATAGAATTAAATTTGTTTTCAGAGGGTCGGCCATTATATCTCCTGCGTCTAGGCCAGATGGATGTCAAAGGTTTGGTGAAGTCTGTTGGTGAAGAAGGACTTCTTAAACATGTGAGTAAACATATTCCTTCTTTTTTAAGGTCTCCTCAGGTAATTCAACCCTGGGAAAGACCTAGATACAAGTCTAACAAGTACTGTATGTATAAACTGGCTGCATGTCCCGACACAATGAATTATTATTATTATTGTATCATTTTTAGTACATCGCATATATATGAAACAAAGATATAGTACACGGTTTAGCATGTGTTAAATTGTGTACACTACTTGGCCCATGTGGTGTATTACCCGGGCCAAATGTTGCTGAAGGTGTATTGCTTTTTTATGAAGCAAATGCATTTACATCTTCAGAACTGTGTAGATTCCACAGTATTTTGATTGTACTCTGCAATATGAGAAGTTCTTATCCACTTGTTAACTTGAGGATTATGGTTAAGGAAATATTGTTATTTAGATAGAAAAGGTGATGATGATGGATGATGATTGACTGAAGTGGAGATTAATGGTGATGAGGTAACCTCAGCAAACTGCCTTTCACCATGTGCTCTAATGTACCTAATGCCATGATAGAGTTGAAAGCTTCTGAGCCATCTATTAGTGTATGAACACTGCTCAAGTGGCGCTGTGTATGGTCTCTGGGCAAATTTATTCCATCTTTATTGTACATTTTTATTCAGACTGCTTGCCCCACCAGTTACTCAAACTTTTTTATTTGAACAAACCCAAATTGGGAAACGGGCATTTTTGGAAAAAAAGCGTTTGTAAAGAATGTGGCTGTCTGTACTTATATTACTATACAGGAGATGGTGACAGAATGGATGTCACTCTGATGCATCTCTCTCACAAGGTTATGTGATCTGGCTTTATTCAGATTATTTATCAATAGTTCATTACTTGACTAGGTCGTTTGTGATCCCTATCTCTGGCATTTGACTATCTGTAGCCTCATGTCTTTTATGGGTTTTGTCCTTCAACCAGTTCACATTCTGTGCATGTCAGTTGTACTTTTGGACAGTTTTTTATTTGCAACCGATCACAATATTTACAATCAAAGCACCTTTACATTGCCTCTAGACTTCTCACAGACTATGTTCCTTTTGAGAAATTATATTAATTTTGACTGTATCAATATATGTATAATGCTCAAAATTCATTTACGGTGATCCATTTTTAAGAAAATATGGGTTTTCAGACTTTGCACATCTGTGAGGAGGGTCTTCGTCTGACAGAGGAAGCTACAGTCAGTCAAGGATGTCCCGTGACAACGTGGACACTTCTTGTGGATCTGGAAGGTCTCAACATGCGTCATCTCTGGAGACCTGGCATCAGAACTCTTCTCAAAATTATTGAGGTAAAAATGTTTCTTGTTTATTTATAATATATATATATATATATACTGTAATATATAATACCCTTGAAACTGAATATACTTTTTAGTTATTTAATGTCTTATTTCATTATCTGTTGGGGAGCCCTGTTGGCTCCCTGGAGCTATTGAACTGATATTGGCTAATAACAGTATAGGGCTAAAGTTATATGGAGTTGTCAAGCCTACTGTGAACCACTAGCCAGAACCTGGTTCCCTCAGAGAGGCGCAGGGAGCAATGGCCTATGAAACTCACGTGTATGAATGTGTTCATGTCTGCCATCGACCGTGGTTGAGTACCCAGAAAGGTAGGCGCTTCAAAACAGACCCCCTCATGGTAGAACAATTGCAACCTGAAACTGAACAGGGGCAAGAAACTTTCCCAAGGAAAACAAGCTAACAAGGAACACATCACCATGCCGTTTGTGCCAAACCTCCTTCCCCCTCCCAGACAACTGTTCCCCCCCCCCCCAACCCCCCCCCCAACCCCCCCCCCCCCCCACCCCAACCCCCCCAACCCCCCCCCCCCAACCCCCCCAACCCCCCACTCCCAGACCACAGAGACCTTGTTCGCCTGAGCGGGGTGGGCGAGTGAGCGTACGAGTTGGATGATGTGTTGCTAGTTTCATTTTCTATTGGGGGGGGAGGGGAGGTCTGGACCTTTGTTTGGATGTAGGTTGCAATTTTAACCAATTAGGGGTTTGAAATGGTTCATCTACCTTTCTGGGTGCTTTCCTCGGTTGGTGGCAGATGGAACAAACTCTACATCTAGAAGGTTCATATGGCCGTTGCTCCCTTCGCCTCTCTGAGGGGGCCAGGTTCTGGCTCGTGGGCTCCGGTAGGCACTCGAACTCCAAGGACTGATTGCACCAAACTAATATGACACGTGTAAGTTTGATAGCTTCAGGAAGCCTCTGGGGTTCGCCCAGTTTTTTGGGCAAACGTTTCCAACGCAAATGGCGTTTCATTATATTCAACACTGGTCTTTTCCTTGGGGCTTGGTAAGGGTTCTGTCAGACAATCACATTTGATTGGTAGGAGGCAAGTTCAGTCTTTCAGGTGTACCTGCGCATTAGTTTATGCTCTTTTTGGGATTATCCTGTTTGCTCCAGTGCTCACCAATGATGTAGGCAAGTGGCAGCCCCAGGTGCAGCTCCTTGTGCTGTCCAGGGTTCTTATTGCAGAAAACCATAAGGTGCATTTGTACTTGGTGGTGGTCTTTGTATGTTTTGACAATTGGTGGGGTTGATCAGCTCCATAAGGACATAGCATCTCTGGGGTGGAGGCCTTGAGGCCTGTGTTTCCAGCCTTGGCAGCCTTGCTCAAGTTGCATGGCCTTCTCCTTCGGGAGGCGGTGGTGATGGCATTTTCTTCTTCTCACCTTGTATGTCAACAGGCAATGTTTTTCCCATTCATTAGATTCAACTTGTCTTCTTATGCTTTTGTCTGGCTACCCATTTTCACCTTTCCTCTTTCCTGAGGATGTTGTACACAGGTTTTGTCTGGTGACACTCTTGCTTCCCTATCGACAATTTGTTTTATCAGGGTTCTGTTCCTATTAGGAGGCGGTTGGATAGGGTTGGGACCTTGCCAGCCTTTGATCAAAGTTCATTCTCTTGTGGGCCTGATTCTTGGGCCATTGCACTTTCTGATGTGAATTACTCCTCTGCTCGACGTCATAACCCATACATTATGGAAAGGAAGGTTCTGCTTGTGATTTGTGCCGACCCTTTTGCATTTGTACCCTTTGATGCTGGCATCTGGCTTGTTTTGCCAGCTCTCAGTCCTACAATTTGTGGGCTTTTTGTCTCACCTCTGTTTGCCTGTGGTGGAATTGGTCAGTCCGTCCCTTGTTCTTTGCTATAGGGTCTTAGGGGTCAAGAATGCTCCTGACCCCTAAGGGCGCCTGGTCTTTGCCTTGTCTTTGCCTGGTCATTGCAGGCTGGATGGACTCAGATGTGGTTGAAGTGACTTTGTCCCTTTGGGTATCCCGGTTGTTTCCAGTCCTGAAGAGGGATTCAGTGGACCAATGGTACATACCTTGCGGTTACCTTGTGATGATTTCCGGGCTTAGCGTCCTTGCGGCCCGGTCCTCGACCAGGTATCCTTGATCTTTTAGGACTGAACAGATTCATCCCCCTGTACAAATTTCTACATGACCACTTTGGCCCATATCATGATTACAAGGTGACCAAGGCCTAAAACTAATAAAGCTAATCCTCAAGTCTGTGTTATATGCATTTTTGAATACTGTCTTTTTTTTATGGGGGTTTTTACTGAATGAGTTACATCCATTTTCTAGCCTTGTAGTTCAATCGAGTGACCTTTTCTTGAATCAGATTGTGGAAGCAAATTATCCCGAGACAATGAGCTGCGTTCTTATCATTCGTGCTCCACGTGTGTTTCCAATCCTCTGGACTCTAGTGTCAACCTTCATTGATGACAATACCAGGTACAGATTGTACATTTCTCACTTTGTATACTATGTACATAAAACACACAAAAATATTGATATACGGTATGCAGAATACTTTTTATGACATAATTTGTGAATGAATTACATGTGAACTTGCACAAGTACAAAATAATAATTGTCTGATAGACCTTAAAACTAAGGCCTGACTGTTATTTGTCATGCATTTTAGGTCAAAATTTCTGTTTTATGGAGGAAATGATTACCAAGGTTCTGGTGGCTTGATAGACTACATGCCAAAGGAAAATATTCCCGACTTCTTGGGAGGAGATTGTAAGGTAAGACGCTTCAGTGCTTTGATTTTTTGTGTCTATCAGGAATGGTTTTATTCCACACCATGTTCATTATTTTTCCTCTTTTTAACACACGTGATTAGCTGAAGATTATGATTATTATACAACTCAATTTTGTTAGTAAATTTTCTTGTAGTGAATAAAGTTGTGATGATTTGCTCTTCCTTATTTGGTATCTCATCCAATCATTTAGCCAAGATGTATTTTTATATTGAAATGTATTAAAATTATAACATGGTTTATGTAATAGTTCAGAATTTTTTGGTTTAAAATGTGCAATTCATATCTCTCAAATGTACCATTCAATTAACTTGTAAATATGAAATTCCTTGCCTGGTAATGGATCACTGGAAACATTTATGATCAGTAAATCATTATTTTCTCATTATAAATTATTCCTAAAACTTTCAAGCTTTGCAAGACAATTCAAATGGAAATATTATAATTAATATCCATATCTTGTAATAATGTATGACCATAAATTTGTTACTTTCCATGTCAGTTGGACAAGTTGGCCAAAATGAGTACATAGTGACTGTGACGTACACGTGTGTGTGTGTGTGTGTGTGTGTGTGTGTGTGTGTGTGTGTGTGTGTGTGTGTGTGTGTGTGTGTAAGTGTAAGTGTAAGTGTAAGTGTAAGTGTAAGTGTAAGTGTAAAATGTGAACCAATACCACAAAAGTCCACATTTTGATCTGGTAAATTGATATAAGGTCCAAGAAAGAAGGCAACAACCAAGCCTAACCTCGCCTTAGCCTAGTACTGTATAGTACAGTTCATATTTTGTACTATATTAGGTCTAGGATTGCATATAATAGGCTTAAGGTTGCTTATATTAGGTCTAGGAGAGGTTTGCTTAGGATATATAGTAATTGTATTCGGTACTCTTTTAGTATTTTAATAGTACAAAATGTAAATATTTTGGGTGCAACCATGCATACTGTGAATTTGTGGGGGCACGAGTACATTGATACCATGCATACTATGTACTCGTCTACTATAAATTTTGGAGGATGGGTTGCAGTGGGTGAATGTTTTTGGAAGATGGGTTGCAGTAGGTGAATGTTTTGGAGGATAAGTTATGGAAGGAAAAATGTTTAATTTTCAAGGTGGTAATTCCTTCTGGTTTCTGAGAATATACTATCGGGAGAGAGACTTTGCCAGAACTTTGCATTGCTTCTAAGGGTTGAAGTGGTTCTGAATGATATTTTGATGTCTACCTACAGATTTCACCTGCTTTTGCAGCTATAGTATGAAGAAAGCAGTTGTGACTTGATAAGGATCCAGGAGGGGCCAAAATGTATTTTTTACCCCTCCATGTGTGTGTGTGTGTGTTTAGATATTTAAAGCAGTTGATAGTAAGAAACATAAATGTGTTAGGTAGTCAAGGATTGCTTCAGCAGGCTTGTATGTAGCTGAAAAGAGATTAAAATTAAGGATAATATGAACATAAATATGAAAATAGTCAGTTAGAAAAAAAAAAAAGCAAGGGATTATAGCGAGTGTCAGAGAACAGATCTCAGGATAGTGTTTACATGGCAACATTGCCTTCCTCATGGTACTCATTCTGGCAACACTTATACTTTAAACATACTTGCCTAATTATACTCACCTAATAGTACTGTACTTAATTGACTGGTAGTGCTTCCATGACAGCTGAGGCTAACAAATCAGCTTATTTTATACCATTCTAGAATTCATGCTATGATTGTTGATGTTGCTTTGTTTTTATAATTGGTGGCAGTATGGGTGCGAGCGTGGTGAAATGCCAAAGGCCTGGCTATTTTCTAGTTCTCGAAAGAGTAGGCCTAGTTCTGGGGTCTGTAACTTTTATTTTCTGAGCAAAAATGTATCTAGTCATGTTAGTTAACTTCTGGTGTTCATTAATGTATATGTTCAATGATTATTTAAAACACTGTTTAAAATTCCAAAGGAATGTACATAATTTTTTATCCTTTGCTGATGTAGATATTTGAAATGTATAAAAACCTTTCCATATTAGGCACTGCAATCAGTTTGTTTGTGAAGTTGTTTAATGTTAATTTATGCTTTTTAAAGACTTGTCTTCATATAATTAAAAAAATCTTTGACATCTGTAGCTGCTCTTTTGTCTACTTCATCTCCGTCTTTTTCTTTATGATGGGCGATTTGACAAAGCGAGGCACTCTCTCTCGCTGTGGCCCCGTACCAGAGTCCTTGTACACACTCGTGTACCCAGACCAGCTGGAGCTTAGCGTAAGAAATTAGTCCAAAATCTTAGGCCATCTTCTAATGGTGATTACTAGATCTTTTCTTAAACACACTTGAATTATTAAATAAATCATGAATATTTAGATTTTCTGCACGAACAGTATATAATATTTCTGGCATTCAAAATCACTACAAAGGAAATGCCAGCAGAAATGCATGGTTACAAGTGGATTTGAGAAAAATCTAGGCTTTCATCGTGTTTGGTGCTATAGTTTAGGAATAACACATTGACAGCCTCTTGGCAAGATGCATCTATTATAAACACCATTGATAAGGTCACACGGTATAGTTTTGGTTCTCAAAATATTAAAAAATCAATTTTAATTACATATGATTTAGTAATGTCATCTGCTATATATTCTTATAAAAACTATCAGTTTATCTTTGAGATTCATCTTGCTAGCTGGTCTGTTACCACTTACCCACTCACAAGATAAACACACATGAGCCAGTGTCATCCATTTATTGTGGATTCCTGCTCAAACGGAAGACTTTGTTCCGGACTCTCTCAGTGCAACAGATTTTGAGCTGGATCCGATTTTCATCAATTTCATCACATTTTATGTTTCTTATTACAGATAGTTCAAGCAATATAAGTATATGTAATAAAATATGAAATATTGAGTAAATGTGAAATACACACAGGTAAGCAAAGCCATAAAATTCACTGTCCTTTGGTCAAGGATCATGGCAGCCAGGCAGATGATAGTCTCGGTACCAGTTGAAAGGTACTTTCATAAAACTTTGAAGCCATTTAAGTTCTTCAGGACAAAATGTGACTGCCAAATGAGGTCTTGACCTAGTCGGCCCACTGATTGCCTGGCAGCCATTTACTACCAGCTGCTGCCAACACTATGGCAGTGCTATTACTGCAACACAATACTAGCACCCAAACTACTTGCATTCTTCTTGTGACACAAAACTAGAAGATAGAAGAAAAAGGGGTGATATGATCCCTACGTATAAAATGGTAATGGAAAGTGACAACATTCATAGGGAAGAATTCCCGAGACCTGGAACTTCAAGAAAAAGAGATCATAGATTTAAACTAAACAAAGTTGTAGAAGAAATATAAGAAAATTCACTTACACAAACAGTGGTAGACAGATGGAACAAGTAAGGTGGTGGTGGTGGTGACCAAAACAGTTAGTAGCTTCGAAGCGTTACACGAGTGTGCTGGGAAGATGGGACACATCGAGCATAGTTCTCATCCTGTTACCTTGCAATGGTTTTTGGGCTCAACGTCCCCACAACCCAGTCCCCGACCAGGCCTCCTGTAAGTACACTTTGGTACTGTAATTACACTTGGGTGTAATTACACAGGAAAAGGGAGCAACTATTAAGGCATAGAACTAAAAACATGAAATCTGAGTAAGGGCAGATTACAAACTACCTCACCAGCATATGTGGCAAATACTGGTGAAGAACCTACAGGCACTCGGTGTCCTAATGGGAAACACGAGGGCCTCGTAACACTTGCCGAAGATGGTCCCATCTGATGGAAGTCGTAGGTACAAGGTGTCCAGGCAGGTAGTGGAGAACTTTAGTCAAATTTGATTAGAAAGTAGAACTTTTACACAGCTATAATAACCCTACAAAGATCACTTGGAAAAATTTGTTGCACTTTAGCACAGTGATCCACAACCAAAGCCTCCAAGTGTAATTCCTACATGGGTTACCTTGCGGTTACCTTTGCGATGATTCCAAGGCTTAGCGTCCCTGCGGCCCGGTTGTCGACCATGCCTCTTTGCTGCTGGACTGGTCAACCAGGCAGTTGGTCACGGCTGCTCGCAGCCCGACGTATGAATCACAGCCTGGTTTATCGGGTATTCATTGGAGGTGTCCATCAAGTTCTCTCTTAAACACTGTGAGAAGTAGGCCAGTTATGTCCCTTTTGTGTAGTGGAAGCGTGTTGAATCGTCTTGGGCCTCTTATGTTGATATAGTTCTCTCCGAGTACCTATTGCACCTCTGCCATTTTTCTTGCAGCTGTCATGGCTACTTTGTGTTCTTTAAAAGTACAGTAAGGTCTTCCGACACGAGTACACCCAAATCCTTTACATTGCTTTTTCGTTCTATGTTATGATAGAATAGAAATATTTTGACAGTTTTTCACCTGATGCCTCTGTTTTCTTTGCAGTCAATAGGTACCCAAAAGTTAGGCAGCTATTGTGGGTTACATCATTGGAAAAGTCAGTAGCTAGCTTGGGGGGGGGGGGGTGGCTGGCGGGGATGGGGGAACATCAACAAGCCTGACAGGCTTCCTGATCCCAACAACAAACACATGTCTGCCCTACTGCCATGGTCCTTGTTCAGAAGACACACTGGTTCTTAACTTAAGGGGAAAACAAAATAGAAATGGCTCAGAGTTGTTATATAAATATAACTATTTGTTTAAATTTATTGGCATGTAAATCTGGATCAGCTGGATTATTTATTATCCAAGCATCTCATTGCATTGGACACCAACCAGATCAGAATCCTTTTGATATACAGTATCTCATTTTCTGTTGGACTGGGTATTGGAGAAGGAATTCACTTACATATTTTCTCATTAGCTACCACATTAATCAAATTTTACCTTTGTTACATCATAATGCTAATAAATAATTCTTGCTTCAAGTGTGTGAAATGCTCTTTTTTTCTGAGTTGGTACAGTACCTCTGTTGCTGCTCTACCACCCAAGATGCCATTCATAGCCAGGCTGTGTGTGACTTAACACTGTCTATAGACTTTACTGAAGGTTTTGCCATGAACATTGATTAGGAAGAAAGTGGATAGTTTCTCAATCTGCCACTGATTGCCTCATAATATAACAGAAACACACCATATTCTTAAAACCCCCTTCAAGTGAGAATTGTAATTTTCACTCTTCAGATTACCATAAACTAATCATACCTGGTGACAGATGTGGTTTTTATCGGCACCAAAAAACAGTAAGGGTCATGGTACTTGAGCACTTCAACATGAAATTATGAACAAAAATAGAGGGACAGGGAGCAACAAAAGTAATTGGTCAGAAAATAGGCTTTAATACCCTCAGTGTTCCAGTTCAGAACTAAGACATCTAGGTTCCTTACATAGCCAAGGCCACAATATACAGCATACACAAAGGAAAAGGGAAAGTTAGCCATGCATCAGCTATGACACAGATGGGTCGAGGAAGAAAGACCAACTGGCATCGTCAGACGCCAAACTGGATGCCACTCGTGAGGGGGAAAAGATGTGGCCCAGTGCTGTGTATTACCACAGAGAATGAGGCACAGCTAGCACATAGCCTAACCACCTGATGCATCAACTGGAAGAGACGAACCTTAGAAGAATAGGGCAGAGTATATTTATAGATGGACAGATAAATCTGTCAGAAACCAGACTGGGGCCATGATTAAAGACTTAACATTTGGTCTAAAACTAAGGAGACAGGTAAAGCTGAATGACTTGAACTCCCTGTTGAGGATACACCAGGGCTTGGGAAAATTCTTTCATGCCATTCTTTCATAAAGCATTGGACTCGCTATGTAGGGACATGAAGGCACAATGAACAGGAAGGCAAATTACTTAAAATTTGGTCTCTGCAGAGCCTGTGTGTAAGTGGAGTAAATGCCAGTCATTAAGTAAAGGGCGCCTGACAGCTGAGTGGACAGCGCTTCAGATTCGTAGATCTGAGGTTCCGGGTTCGATCCCCGGTGGAGGCAAAAAAAAAAAAAATGGCTTTTTCTTTCACCGTGATGCTCTTGTCCACCTAGCAGTAAATAGGTACCTGGGAGTTAGACAGCTGCTACGAGCTGCTTCCTGGGAGTGTGTAACAAAAAGCAGGCCTGGTCGAGGACCGGGCCGCGGGGGCGCTAAGCCCCAAAATCATCTCGAGATAACCTCAAGATATGCCATCTCCAACAGCACTGTTAGTGGTGGGCTGTTCTGAAACCTGGTGGTGATCGGGAAGTTTTGTTTACAGCAAATTGTTGTGCAATAATTGGCACTTCTTAGGTTTCCAAAATTTGCTTGGAAATGGTATAGGCTCTGTGGAGCATTTTTGTATTAAAACTAGAAGGTTGATCACTGATGGAATGAGGTAGGCCCTCTACTGTTTCCCTGTCCCAGTTATGTGGCAAGGCCACCTGAAAACTCTGGCACTGTGGAGTGTTAAGTCATATAGAGCCTTCTAATGAATGGTGTTCTGGCTAGACCATACAGGCTATGGCTCAAGGAACAATAGAGGGTCCCCCCTAACTCAAAAAAGCTGTATTTGTCTGTACTGTTGATCATTTGAAACATTCAATGTAAAAAACAATAATATTGTATATGTTGTAGCAACCTGCTTTCTCCTTGTCAGCACCTGCCTAACACTTGCTCTGTGCTACTGCCAAATTCTTCTCCTTCCCCAGAAACATCATTAATGGTTTGAAAAATGTCTTTTTTTTTAATTTATATGTGTTTGAGTGCTTCATTAAATCAAAATTGGTTTCTAATTCATTGAATTTGAATTTACTATTTCTATGTATATTCCATTTTGTTCGATGTTGTCTGATTTACCAACCTTCATTACAAAATTGTTTTACCTCGGCATCATAAAAAATGCCATATTAGAGTACACTGCAACCTTGAAAAAACTTGAAAACTTGGTTTATATAACTAATGTTATATTTTCCAAACTTTCAATTACACTATTGTACTTTTTTTTTTTTTTGTGAGAGGGAGAATGGAGTGGTGGTGGTCATACTGTAAATGTTACAACACATTCTTTGCATACCATTGCCACAACACGATTAGAAGCGCAGACAACTCCTTCTTTAAGCCCAGGCCATCCAAACAAGCTCGAGAAAGAAGGGACCAATTGGGTGGAAATTGGAGCACTCCAAGAGATCTGCTAAGGAAGGCGTGTTGCATTACACTCAACACTGTGTTTCTGGTGTGAGACCCTTTGGATGCTTCCTGAACCATCTCCCCACATCATGAAGAGTTATATAATTCCTAGAGAATACCAAC